ATACAGATTATCTGGAGACAGAAGTCCTGCATATTATCTTGCTCTCCTCACCTTTGATAACTTTTTCCTCTGCTACAAACAGAACAGCAATAACCATAGCACGGTCAAAATTTTTGCTATACTGAAAATAGCTAATTGCTACCAATAGCTTCATTTTATGTGAATAAGTAGACATCATTTTTTCTTGCATTGAATTAGCAGTAAAAAAGTACAACTCTGGTATTTTTCACTGTGTGGGCACCATCTAATATCCTCTCAATGCTCATTCCTTTCTCTCCAGAGTATAGTTTATGCGTCTAACTGAGAATAACTTAAACAAGTCAGGTGAGTGGAAAAAAAACCCCAACATATATTCTAGGTGAAGAGTCTGCTTTCTATGGGATTATTTATTTATGACTTAGAATTAGAAACATTATGATACCAGTGCTACAACAGTTCGTTCATTATGGTCTGCCATGCTGTACTGTTGTGTTCTCAACTTCCCTGCAGTAGGATAAATTACATCTGATGGGATGTAAATGAAAAAGTTTCCTAGTTAGAATAATTTTACATCACAGTAATTTATTCAAAGGTCAGTGAATGTGATTTCCTTGAGCTTTATCTTACAGTTTTTAAGGGCTAGGCAGTTCATAGCAGCAGGTCTAACAATGATCAATATAATGCCCAAAAGAGAAAGGTATCTTGAAATTAACAAAATAATAAATCAAGTTTCAGTTAATTTTCCAGCTGATTCTTAAGGAATTCTTTTAATAGTAATCTTCTTTAACAGCAAGTTCTCACCAGAGAACAAAGATGCACTGGCCTAGACCTTCAGCTAATACAAACCAATTTTCTCCTGAAACACAGCATACCTAGGCTGGGGTAGCAGGGGTGGGGGTAAGGAGAAGGATTAACTTTTTATTATTTGTAACTAACAGCACATGTTTTCAGAGCATACTAGCTCTGCCTCAGGACAGCAAGCACATTAGAAGCATTAAAGCACATTAGCTGCATAGGGATTAAGATTTCTTCATTATTTATTTACTTTTTCATTATTATCTAACTAAAGAAAAATTAAATCAGTGTTAGAAAGTGAAATGATACCGTCCTGTATTGCCAGGAGTACTGTAGCCGAAATAAGAAAGTACCTAACAATGATTCTCATAGGTGAGTGGTATGAACCACCTAAGTATTTTTAATTGAACAGCAAGAAGTTTGTATACACAGACCCTTTTATTTTTAAGTTCTCCACTCATGACACACCTCAACAGTAGCTTTGGCTTCTTGGGCATGGCTGTGTACACATGCCATGTCAGCACCTGACACCAAATATAATAATATTCTAATATACTCATCTCAATAAGTGCTAGATGGCAGGAAGGATATTGGAATGGATTAAACTGTGTTCAGAACTGAATTCCTCTGCTAAACATTAGAGTACTTGCAGACCATTTAGCCATTTACATTTTCTCCCATTTATAATTTAATCTAACATCTTCCCCCCGCCCCTGGTAATTTGTGGCTTAGTTATTGTCTAGATAAACAATATATAATGTTCTAAGATTTTTTAAAGTTACTGATAAAATAAACACCAGCATATGCATCTATTTATATCCAGTATTGTGATATCTATTATTATTGCCTTGATACCTTTTGAAACAGTTTGTCTTAAGTCAGGTTTTGATTTGTTAGATCTACTGACAGATTGCTAAAAAGAATGTTAAACACAGACCATGTATTCATGAAAATATCAGATATTTACTTCTCTTTCTTAATTTGAATGAAGTTTACACTGTTCAATTTGAAAAATCCAAAGTCTTGGATACTCCAACTTCATTATTTCAAAGACAGAGTTTTTCAGACAGAGTTATATCTTCCCATTTCTTAAAAGTACTATAGGTTGGACCCTCACTTCTTTCCTTGAAACCAGAAACCAGGATCAGACTCTGGGAGCAGGGATACCATGCACAGACTGACAACAAGGCATACAGAGCAGCAAACAAGTACAAGCTATGCACTGTATAAAATTATCAAAGATCAAGCAGGGAAAAAAAAGATGAAGGGAAAGAATTACGTCTAAGCAACCTCATCAATACAATCTGAAATGAAGAACATGGGTTTTAATTCTATTAACTTAACCAAACTATGTTAAAAGCAGTATGGAGTAACTGTTGGAGCAGGAAAAATAATGTTCTTTGGGAATTTACATTTTTATTCTCTTGCTTATACGGTGCCTACCAGTAGACTATAATTATATCAAACATCTCTTCATTTATCATATATAGTTAGATTTCAGTTAATTTTTCTTTTATCTCTTAGTCTATTTATTGATGAAGAACAACATATTTAACTCGTTGCTTAAAATCTGAGTTATGATTCTGAAACTATAACTCTCCGTAAGACAAATGGTTCTGTTTCTTTTCCCTGAGTAGAATCAAGCCACCTGGTAGAAGAAATGTCTGAGATTTAGAGCTTTGAATAGCAGTGACAAGGTGCAGGTAGGGATTTAAGAAAAATGTAAATCTTTTTTTCCTTCTGGTCAACACTGACCTTGCCTGACATTGCTGCAAGGATTCACTCCTCTAGGAATGAGTCTAGCATAATTCTATTTTATGCTGTTCTAGTTCTTACACTGATCTCATCTGTATAATATTTCAGTGCTTTCCAAGTTCAACATTATAATCAGCAGGATGAATATGATTTTCTTTCTTACATCCTCTTTCTGTGGGGAAATAATATGCACAAGTGCATCAAATGATGTATAAGTGTTAATACCACATGTGTATTACACAGATACGTACTAATAAAGGCAAGCTGAAGAGACAATGATTCCACCAGGAGAAGGGGGTGATGAAGACTGTAATGGTTCTTGGATCCTATGGCTTTGTTTTCCATTGATGGAAGGCTATGAAAAATTATATGATTTTTCTGTTATCAAAACCAGGAGAAAGCTCAAGTTCACCAGTGAAGAAGACAATGGGATTAAAGCCATTTGGAATAAGAAAATATCTCTCCACTGATGTTTGCTTAAAGGAATAGGACAGGAAGTTGGCAGAGACATACTTCGATGTCCCATTGGATAAATGAATTTCCAACAAAATGAACATATGAAAAGAAATTATGTTGTCAGAGGAATGTCAAAACTCTATAGATGATGCTGATCTATAAATTCACTGCTAAGAAAAGGAACAAATGGTGATAATACGACAGTTCTTTTTAAATGCTATTTTAAAATTTACAACTTGCTCTAGTAGTATGTAGTTTCCTATGTGGGCTTAGCATGTTTCCTCTGTTTCGAGATCACATGTTTTTAAAAGATGTCCTTTTATAGAAAGTTTCGGTTGCTTACTTGCTCTGCAGTATGTATACCTAATCTCTTTTTATTACTCCTTCTCCAGCTATTCCTTTTTCTCATTCGTCCCCCACCACCTCAGTTGACTTAGGCAACTGGAAAATGTATCTTCCATATGCAATGAAATCCTATGGAAATGAGGTCTGCCATATACATTCTTTGTCATCTACAGAAAGGAATCCTATTATCCACTGCCCATGAAATTACTTATGTGTCTAACTCTCAGGGCTTGGCCTTATCAACACATCCTGCTTTTGCAGAAAGGGAAATGCAGCTGCATTGTAGCAACTCTAATGACAGGTGAACAACAGTGTCTCCCTTTCAAAGTCTAATTCTCTTCATCTCTACACCAATGTGAATTTAAAGTAATTTCTAGATCTCTATGAAATTATAATAACACAGTTCGAGTAGATATCATATAGTTAAGGAGTAAACTCAAATCTTAGAGATTTTTTTCATGTTAAAGACATTTTTGACATGTGGCAATCGGTATTATCTGCATATGCTGTTTTCTTGTTCCGCAGGAGACAGTAATGTAATATTCACATGCCATGTTATCATTTCCACACCCATCACATCTGCTTTTTCGAAAATGAGAAGAGGTACCTAAGGTTAATGTTACAATTCAAATTATCTTCAGAATTCTCAAGAAACAGAGCTAAAAAGTAGAAGATGAAACCTCAATAAGAAAAACATCTTCTGTTTTACCTGTCTCATCCCAGAAAGGGAATTCAATCCACATGCCCCACATGCTTTACCTACATAGTCACATTTTCCCTGAAGAGCTAAGTATGCTTTCTATAGGAGGAGCACTTGTAAAGGCTATAGAAATGTAATAAAATACACACTTCCTCAATAATGGAGAATGACTTCCTGGAATTCCAGTCCTCTCATCCTTCCAAACAGAATCCTCAAACAGAACAGATACTCTCTGGAGAAAAAAATGCCATAATTTCCTGGGACTTTCATTTTGAAATTCAGAAGGATGCTGAAGTGCATTATTAAGGCATGATTAGATGACTTTGCAATTAAGGATGCTTTGGCCCATCATGAATCTGACCAGCACATAGAATTACTCATATTTGCCATGAGGAGAATGTGCCAATAGGAACTACCCAGGTTATTTAGACTACCAAAATAAAAAAAATATGCCATGTGTGGTCTCATGGTACCTTAGGTAGTACCAAGTTCTGTGCACTGTTACAACCAGCCAATAATTTAGAACATGTCAATAATTCAACTTTGTCAACTGTTCATTGAATTTTTCATCGTTAAACACTTAAGTACTTCAGCAATACTTGCTAGCCTTACTTCAGTAAAGTGCTTCTGGCTTTATTCATGAATGCAGCTTTTGGTGTGTTCTATGTTTAGACATAGTGAGTAATTTCTAAGTAAAGGGTTTTCATCTAGTTGGTAAAGCATCTCATGCTTGCAGCAAAGAATTTACATGGTGCTTACCATGTCCCATGCATTCATGCATGTGAATTTTGCTCTGTTACTGCATTTTGCAGAAACTACTCAGCAAACTGAAAGTTTGCTTTCAGTAACCATGGTTTATACCTAAACCATTATTTGACTCACCTAGCCTGTCTTAAATCAAAAGGTCTAAGAAGCCAAGTATAATCACAGCAAAAATTAAGGTTTCAGAGGTATATACTAAAGGACTTACTGTGACGATTAGCCCTTTTTCCTGGAAATATTTAACCAATGGGACAGCATTCTGCTTGAAATTCATTAGTCGTCTTTGAGTGGCTTTCAGGTTATCATCAGGTCTTCCTTGCTGTTCAGCACGCTTCAGTAATCTTTCTTTCAGCCTTTGACTGGAACATGCCAGGAACACCACCAAATCTGGGGTACAGATCTGTAGAAAGAGCAGTCCAAGAAGTCTGTGATTAAGCTGACTACCCAGCACTGCAGGACTCAGCAATTCCATTATTAGTTGAGGCTCAGGTATGCTGCATTTTCATACATTGGAACTTGATACTATGTAAATTTGATAGTCAAATTATTTACAAACACTGTAGATGACTGGAGACATGAGGACACAAACTACAAACCAACCCCCCAAAATACTAATTCTGGTTATTTTTAATGAATGTCTATTAGATTACAATTAACCTTGTAATCTATTTTTCTTTTTAAATAACTGCCAGTGGGAAAGAAGCTCTCTCCTACCTCTAACACATATACCTCAGCATCAACCAAACAGTAACTTTCTTCCCCTTTTCAGGCTATTCTAAATACATAATTGACAGTTATTCTGTCCTTTCACGGACAGAAATTAATTAGTTAATTTTACTACCACATAATAGCTTTAAGGCACATATTCACATGAAAGTCTATGAAGGTAAGTTTCTGTGTTAGACTTTTTCATGCAATATGGACATCACCAAAAGTAGCTCTGTTAAATTAAGGTTGCTTCATTAGTAGTAGAAGAACAGCAGTAGAGACTTTGGGAATTTAGAGAGCATATAAGTAGTAAAGAAATCCAAATTATGACACAGATTCTGAAAGAGAATACTACAGATTTCAATGCCTTTTAGGTCATGGAACACTGTCTCATGAAAGGGAATGGCTGATGCACCTTGCAGCAGACCGACCACACAGACATCTCTAGTCCCAGTGTGAGTATCCAGCTGATTGGAGCTTCCTAACATACATACAGAGGGACTCAGAAATTATAACTGCAAATCAGGGATCTAGTAAAGTGAAGGACAAAAGAAGATTATACATTAGTAGTTTTACTGAGTGTTTCAATTTCTATGGATCCTAGTAATGGTGAAGAAATATGGTAAGAAATCTTTAGGTGACCCAAGCTGCAGCTGGCCATGTCCTTACTTTCAACGCTCGCTTGCAAACATCCTCAGAACTAGCATTTACGATGTACTCAGGTCTGTGAAGTCAGTCTGTAAAGGGTAGGACTTAAGCTTTTGCGTATCACATAACCTCAAATACACCACCAAACATTGCAGATGGTACTTAGAATAAATAGATCGCTCATGAAATTATTAGCTTTAAGGAAAAAGAGGAAGGAGACAAAAGGAGGATCTTTCTGTTTCAAACATGGGCAGGTCTCTTTCTGTTTCACACAAACATGAGAGCGCAGCTTTACACAGTCAGTCTTAGTTCTTTAAAGAAACTATGTCAGAGTAAGCAAGGCCCCACAGCCAGGGAAGGATCTGAACGCCATCAAGACACCATCAGGTGTGCAGGTTCTCATCTGCTTCTTCCAACAAATGGCACTGGCCTCACAGGTCAGTTCTTTTGAAGAAAATGGGAAAGCATGCCCTGGGCATTGTAAAATGTGGATAATAAGGAGGTACAACACAGTAATTATAGTGGAAAAATCAATTAGGTTTTAATTATTTCCTATTGCTTTTTACAATGGAAAGTTCTCTACAGGAGCCGAGTACTGCTGTTCTTAATTTTTTTACTAGTAACAGCAACAATGCAAAGGACAGTATCAGAATCCTAGGAACTAAAACTATTTTGTCTGACAGTCTGGCTTTGCTAATTTGAAATATATTTTACTCAGAAATAAAATGTTAATGAAAACAATGGTTTAAAATTCTTAGTTCAAGAAGCCTAGTTTCAAATGAAGTATTGTCTATAAGTTTTTTTGTTGAAGTGGAAAAAAAAGTAATTCAAATATATTTGAGGTAGGAATACAAAGCAGATTCTGATTATGTGATGTCTCTATGAATTAAACCTGCAGAATATGTATTTTTATCATCAGAAAGTAGCTGAAAACCATTTAATAAACACAAGCCCATTTCAGATGCATGAAAGAGCAACATCTCTTCTATATCCATAGGTAGTCAGACCTAATAGCACTTAATGTATTTCTTCTACATGCATTTACAACCTTCAGGGTAAGCCCTTAAAACACTATTGATAATTCACTCCTGTTTTCAGGAACCACTCTACTTCCACTTACCTCAACTGCACCTGTCTGCAAGACGTGCTAAGAAGTATTTTTAAGTTGGAAAGTAACAGTTGGAAAGTGAACATACGGACATATGGGATTACTTCTCTAGAAATGTATCTAGTTCTCCTGCGTAAATATGAGTAAAAAATTGCTTTTTTCTAACAAAGGAAAAGGGCTTTTTATGACTCATTTGGGGGAAAAAAAACCCCAAACCAAACCTATTTTTTAAACTCAGAACTAACTGTTGTGGAGTTTTATGACTAGGAAATAAGTTTTATTTTGAGAATTAGCTTGTAGAAAAGGTGTATAGAACCAGCACAGACAGAAGAAGTGGATTCTTTCACTCTGATTTTCCATAGCGCACTCATCTTTTGCTGAAGACAGAAGGTCTTTTTCAAGTCCAGAAATGCACGAGGAACGACTTTGAAGTTTAGGGAAGTAAATTTGACTACTTACTAACTGGAACTCAGCAGAAGGCAGAATCTTTGCCTATGGGAACAGGCAGGTTTCCGGTTATTTACAACCTTCTGAATCTTAAACAAGACATAGAACGTATGGCATCAACTCAGAATAAAACTGGTGGGTACATCCTCTCATTTTTTAGAATAGTATATACTAGTAAGTAAATCCTACTCTCTTTGGGTCTGAATCTCCTTCCTAAACTGGAACAAGGAGTAAATTGAGAGTAATCCCATGCAAGTTGGTGGTGATATTGACATAAAGCAGTAAGTGGAAAGATGTTTTCCCTGGGGATATTTTCCACATCTCCTCTTGTTAGTGAGAGCAGTGTGGTTGTTTGCTAGAAATTAGATGATTACACTCTCTCTCATTATTCCTCATTAGGCACAAGACGAAAATGCTCTGCTTCTTAATTCCTGGTGTGTTATACTAGATACTCCTGAGAAAACTCATCTGACAGCTCATGAACAACTGTCATTAATTTAACAGTGCATTTTATTCTGACTGGTAAAGGTTACTAGCAAGCTAGTTTATGTCCATTGTATGAGTGCTCTCCCTTGTAATTAGTGAATTGCTTTTTATAGTTCCATCTCTGCTGAGTTACTAGACTGTTTGCGTAGTTTTTTCTTGGTTTAGAAAAGCAAAATAATGAATCATGTTGTCAAAGGATGAATCCTGCTCATAGATTTTTCTCAAGTAACTGCTTTTGAATCATATTCACACTGCCTAAGAAATAAGCTAAGAAATAGGCTACATAATTAGGCTCCCTAATAATTGATTAAGAGCAGCAGATATCTTTAGGGAGAATAGATTTTAATATGTGTAGTGCAGCTAGTCAATAGAAATCCCTATTTGCAAATGTTAATGCTAAAAAGAAAGGTCTAAGCAGACGTCTGGTTCAGAACTGCTCAGCAGGCACCTCCATCCACTCTTCTGAAGATTAAGGACCGAAAATGATTGAGCCCTCCTTTGGCTAGTTTGGCTAGCAGAGTTCTTGCCAGAAAAATAGGAAACCTGAGGCCTAGGATCTCATACCCATCAGAAAATTGAAGCAGAAGAGTGCCCTAGCTTCCAGGGGAGAAGACAGATAGAAGATGACTATTCCACAGGCTTCCTGCTCAGATTTGGCTTTATAAAAGCAATGTAAAATGCACAGTGCCAAGGAGAATGAAGGAGAGTAACCACAGCAATGCAGATAGCTGATGTGCTAGCCCTCCAACTCATACAGATGACTGGGTACATAGATCCAGTAGGAGACTGTACCTGAGCCTATCAGCCTGGAACAATTAAGTGGAGATTTGGGAGAAGGGAGATAGAAATAGAGGAGGGAATAAAATGAAGAAGACACACAGACCATGATGCAGAAAAAACCTGCCTTTACCAGAACAAAAATCTACTGCAGAGAAGAGATCCTTTGCCCTTAAGAAGATTCACAGAAAGGCTGCATTCATTGTTCTAGTTTTTCTGGAGCCCACACTCCTGCCCAGTGACAGAGCAGGTTTTCTACAAGAAGCTCTTTGCAGAGCATGAGCTTGGCAGACACACAGTCATAGGCCAGCTGCCTACATACAGGTCAAACACCTACATCAAACTTTGAGAGGACTGCAGACATCATTTCTGCTTGGAGGTTTAAGTACTGGACTTGAAGGAATAGTACTGCTGTCCTTAGCCTGTGAGACTGTGAAAGGACAAGTCAGTTTTTCCCAGCATCCCTTATATTGACATCTACACAGTTCTACTTTAGCACAATTACTTTCCATAATAATTTTCATAAGGAATATATTAGTGAGTTAAACAACATTAACTTGAATCACATGTAAGATCAACTAGTTATTCTTTGTAGGTGGAATGTGTTTATGAATAGTCTTAAGGACATTTTAAACAAAGAATGAGATAAAATCTACTGCCTCTGTTTATTATTTAAAGTAAGATTTTACTTCTTCAAATATAGTCTTGTCACCCAGGCCATTTAACACAAAAATATTTTTGAGATAATTTCTACAAAAGCAGTCTTTTATCAAGGAATTAAATTATATTCATTAATGAATATTCATTAATTTTAATACCTGTTCCACATTTCATTTCACTATTAACAAAACTTACAATTAATATGTTTTAAGCAAACTTCATCTGTATTTACTCTATTGAAACTAAATGTTAATATTGCTGAAGGAAATGCTTCAATCAGAAGTTAATGCATGAATGACTGAAAATGGAAGAAAAAAAACCCCAAAGTAAGGCAGTAATTGAAATTAACTAGAAAATACTGCAGTGAGAAATTATTTCTCCTGGGAAGAGTTAAAACATCACCATGTGAGAGATTACATACAAAGCCAAACTACAGTTTCTTCTTCACAAGTCATTTGAGTTCAATATACCATTCAGAGGCATTTCATTACAGTGCTTCTGGAGAGGAAGATACTTAGCATGCTTGAGCATGCTGGTACTGTAGGTGACTTGCTGAATTTCAAGCT